CTTCCCAGCCCGGCCCCATCATTCTTAACAGCAAAAGTTCTGGGAGAAAAATGAGACTTTGTTGACTCTTCCTTCTTCCAAAGCTTCCAATAGCAGTTCAATAGACTATGACAGTCTTCTTCTCTTTCTACTTTCCCAATAAAAACTTAACCAAAGTTTTCCACGATCCTTTGGTAAGGTGTGTGAATATTTTTGAGGTCTTGTTTCACTGTCTCTATATTGATCTTGTTTAGCCTGAGATACTGTGTTCTTCCTGATATATTTTCACCTGTATTTACTCTTGGTTTTTTTTTGGGGGGGGTGGGTTTTTTGTTTGTTTGTTTGATTTTTTTCTTTTGTCAGTCCCGGGGCTTGAACTCAGGGCTTGGGCATTGTTCTTGAGCTTCTTTTTCTGAAGGCTAGCACTCTACCACTTTAGCCACAGTGCCACTCTCAGCTTTTTCTGTTGACTTTTTCTATGGTACTAAAGAATCAAACCCAGGGCTTCATGCATGCTAAGCAAGCACTCTACCACTAAGCCACATGTATTTACTCTTTCTTTTTTTGGGGGTGGGGGAGGTGGGTCCGGTCGTGGGGCCTGAACTCTGGGCCTGGGCGTTGTCCCTAAGCTCTTCAGCTCAAGGCTAGCACTCTATCACTTGAGCCACAGTGCCACTTCCGGCTTTTTTTCTTTTTTGCTTATGTGGTGCTGAGGAAGTGAACCCTGGGCCTCAGGCATGCAAGGCAAGCGCTCTACCACTGAGCCACCTCCCCAGCCCTATTTACTCTTTGTTGATATCCTTTGCAGTCTTTGTATTCTGTAACTTACTCCTAGTTCACTGTTACTTTGGGTTCTGTATGAGGTTTCCTTTTCTTCTCTCTCTACAGCCTCTCCCTATTCATTGTTGGCTGATTCCAATGATTCTTCAGACACAACCCTTTGTAAGCTTCAGACACTGGATGTCTTCAGTCCCTCTGTCTCTGTTTCTGTCTTTGTGTGTGTGTGTGTGTGTGTGTGTGTGTGTGTGTCTGTGTCTGTGTGTGTGTCTGTGTGTGTCTGTGTGGTATGTTAGGCACCCAAACTAAAGCAGATTCAAACATGAGTTTTTTTCCTTGCCTCTTCAAATTCCCAATCAACTCCTGGTTTTGCTCTCCTGGTCAGAGTGCAACCTTACCTACAGGCTGTTCCACGGACTAAAAGTTATTCTTGAATCCTGTTTTCAGCCTTGTCCCTTAAGTCAGCTCACAACCTGTCTACCTTCATAAACCTTGCTCAAACTGATCCTGATGACCACTCTAAGGAGTTTGGCTTTTGTTTGAGGTCAGCATCATAGGCTTCCTAACTGCCCTTCTTTCTCTGCTTTTCAGCATTGATCCTCTCGATAAAGGGCTAGGGGAGAAGCTGAACCTTCTTCTATTGTCTAGTATGTTGACAGTGGAATAAAATTTCTAGAACACAAAGTTCAAAATTTCAAATTGAGGGCTGGGAAGGTGGCTCAGTGGTAGAGTGCTTGCCTTGCATGAGGCCCTGGGTTCAATTCCTCAGCACCACACACATAAGTAGAAAAAGCCAGAAGTGGCGCTGTGGCTCAAGTGGTAGAGTGCTCCCCTTGAGCTGAAGAGCTCAGGGGCAGCGCCCAGGCCCAGAGGTCAAGCCCAGGACTGGGATAAAAAAGAGGAGGAAAGAAAAAAAATTCAAGTTGATAAACCTGCACTGACTCTAATTCTTTTTTTTTTTTTTTATAGGTCATGGGGCTTGAACTCAGGGTCTGGGCGCTGTTCCTGAGCTCTTCTGCTCAATACATGCGCTCTACTACTTGAGCCACAGCACTACTTCCAGTTTTCTCGTGGTTTATTGGAGATGAGAGTCTCATAGACTTTCCTGCCTGGGCTGACTTTAGAATCATGATCCTCAGATCTCAGCCTCCTGAGTTACTAGGATTACAGGTATGAGCCATCAGCACCCAGACTTGAATTCCTTCTTTTATCTGATTTCTGTGAAGGATGCAAACCTCATTCTCCCAACAAGTCCTCTTTCCCTCTTTGTGTCAGTTGTGCCAGATGAATTACAGTTATTGGTTCTTGGAATGAAATACTCTTCTTGCTCATTTGGACAATTGGATTTTTCTACCTAAAATATTTTCCTCCTGTTCTTTAACTCAAACCTTTCACCTACCATTTGTCTTTCAAAATCCAGTTCCATTACTAAAAATTAACAGATGTCTTTCCTGCCTCTGGTCCTCTCCTGGCCATTTATCACATTTTTTTATACATATGACTTTGAATCAGATCCTTTAAGGGTAGTGATTGCATCCTGCTCATCTTTACATCGTCAGTGCCTGGGATTTAACAGATATTAACATTTGAATTTGTTATACCAATGAATAATTCAGGTATGGAAGACAACCTCCAAAATGGCCTGAAATGCCTGGTCCTCACCCTTGTTGTACCAGGGTTGGCAACACGTGTTACCAAGCTGTAATGGTGAGTTTGTGACCTACAAAATTGTTTATAAAGCTAGAAAATCCACACAACTTCTTAGCCAGTGGCCAAGAAAGCGCTTGAGGTTTCCTGCACAAGCTTAGAAGCAGGTCTCCAGCTTCAGTCAGGACTGCAGAGGTTGTAACTCAAATCCACGTGTGCTAACCTGGAAAAGGTTCTGAGCCCCAGTTACCCAGCTGAAATGGTCCAAAATTCTCATCCTTAGAAACTGTGTCTTGGTTATTTTGAGGTATTTTTTTAAATCAGTACTAGATAACTAACACAAGTGGAAAAATGAAGTAAATGCATTCTCTCTCTCTCTCCCTCTCCCTCTCCCTCTCCCTCTCTCCTTCTCTCTCTCTCTCTCTCTTTCTCTCCCCTTACCATTTCCAGGGCACCTCTGATAACCCCACAGAGTAAGCTGCAGTAGCACAGAGAAGATCGCCCAGCCGGCAGCTCCTCCACAAACTCTGCCAAAGGATTCTTGTCTAGAATCAGGGAAAATTCATTTCTGCTTGAATTGTGACAGGTCACACTTGGTGTAATTCCCAGGTACATCTTGAAAGCAACCTAAAAATAAAGATGAGGAGGGGAATTTAATAACAGTTGGTGTAGAACAAATATCTATTAGCAGGATAATGAAATACTCCGTTCCAGGCATTGAAGCAGTAGGATTAAGACAAGTCTTCAGTGAGGACATCTGGACTCACACTTAGCTTTACAATTTATTGACCCTGTGCCATGTGAGGGTGTTTAATCCTTTTATTAGTTTGATGGAAAATCCTAAGGGATACATTATAGCTTATGGAAAACTGCCATAAGGCAATATTTTTGCAAAACATGCATTTAAAAATATGCATATCCTTTAGGAGAGTGAGAGATTCAAAGATTATTACTCATGGACATAACAGTATGGTATCTGTCACATTAATATTAGCAAAACTAAGGTCCTGAAGGAGAGGGGATCTCAGACACCTATGCCCCAACAGGGAAGTCCTGGCTAGAGCCAAGTAAGTTTTGGATTGATGACAGCTATGGATGTATATGGAAGGAGAATCCTATTATTGTAGACAAACAGATCTCTGAGAAGGAGTAAGGGATATTGGTGGGAGAAACAAAACTGAGACATAAAGTAATTTTCAAAAATGGTGTTTTATAGCACTTGAATTTTACAAGGGAGAGATGGAAGAAATCTTGGAATCTATTTCTTTTGAACGTCTACTTTTCAAATGAGCAAGCTTTTCTGTTTCAGAAAAAGCAAAAAGGATACAGCCAAGATTGTAGTATAACTTAGTTCTTTAGCTCAGAGTCCAAGGCAATTTCTTTTCACAAAACACACAGGTCTGTAGTTAATTAATAAAAATGTGTCAACTTGACATGTTGTCATCTTTCAAACGTCTTAATTAACTAATGTTTTAAATTAAGAGCAGCATGGAAAAGAAGTGAAAGCAATTTTCTTTAGTCATAGTGTAAAACCATAAGAAGTTCTTTGATCATTCATTTAGAACATATTGGGCCTACCAAATGCCTCATGCAATGTGAGTTCAATATCCCTTTGCAAAACAGTTGCTGACTGGGCATTCATTCTATGTTTGATACCATGTTTAGTACAGAATACATGAATTAGCATGTATTAGCTAACTCATGAAGACATTAGTTAGCATTTGAAAAGCTGACAAGGTGGGGGTAGAGATGAGAAGCATTGTAAGTAGTAGGAATATGATATGAAATACCACAACGAGGTTCAAAGGAGTTGTGCTTCTATCAACTTGTGAGCAGTGGGGAGCTCCAAAGCTGGGAATGGGTTATGCAGAATCATGTATATTTTAAACCTCTGTGGCAATGTGGAGGGTGGATTTTACTATTGTAGGTACAGGGGGCATGCAGCCAGAGGGAGAGTTACTAATGAAGAAGTTACTACACTGGCCCAGAAAAGAAAAATGACAGCTCCTGTTTTTCTTCAAAATTCCAATTGTCTTTAAAACCCTCGCATACAAATTTAAAACATCCTAATTTGTAAATTAAGTTGGAAATCTTTTCATTCAAACCTCTTTCAGAAGGCATAAGATAAATCCCTGTCTTCTAAATTGTAAGTCACATAACAAGAGAATAAATGATCTTGAAAGTCTGAATGTGGAGATTTGATTTGGTTCCCAACTGATTGAAACCCATTTCTGCTAGTGTTGATTCTTTCCACTGGAAAATTTCTAACCTCTCTGCATGAGAATTTCTTTGTCTTTTAATCCAAGGGACATGGAAATAATATTTAAAAAGGAGTCCATGCACTTTGAATGTATTCTACTTCTGTGTTTAGGCAGCCAGTTCACGGCCCAGCATCCACCAGTAGGAGGCATTATCTGAACACTGTTGGGAAATACGCATTCCTAGGGAATGACATTGTTTCCTTATCTGGCTGAATTCAGCCAGAGAAGGAGGACTGTTGTTTCTAATGAAGAAAGAACTCCACCCTCACCCAGCCACAGCCACAGCTGCAGTGTCAATAGCAAGAGCAGCAGTTCCCCTCTTTGTGTATGTCCAACATGGAAGCTTTTCAAAGCATTTTAAAGTTCTTTCTGAATCAAAAAACTGCTATTGGCTACAGCTTCATGGCTTTGCTGACCTTGGGAGGTGAACGCCTCTTCTCACTGGTGGCTTTCAAATGCCCCTGTAGCACTGAAAATATGGCCTATGGGTTGGTTTTCCTTTTTGCTCCTGCCTGGGTGTTACTGATCCTTGGATTCTTTCTCAACAACAAGGCATGGAAACTCTTCACAGGTTGTTGTGTCAATCCCAGGAAAATCTTCCCCAGGGGCCACAACTGCCGCTTCTTCTATGTCCTAGGACAGATCACTCTGAGTTCTTTGGTGGCTCCAGTGATGTGGCTTTCTGTGGCTTTGCTTAATGGGACGTTTTATGAATGTGCCATGAGCGGGACGAAAAATTCCAGACTTCTGGAACTGATTTGTCACGGCAAACCCAAAGAATGCTGGGAAGAGCTATACAAAGTATCCTGTGGCAAAACTAGCATGCTACCCATGGACAATGAAGAAGTGAAACTGTCTCTTCAAGCCCAGTCTCAGGTAAGAAGAAACTCATCTTTTTTCTTTCTCTCTCTCTCATAAACATGAATTGAAAGTATTCTCTCTGTTCTCTTGTTCGGGGAGGAGTCTAAAGCTTGCCCGAATAATTAAACTACATGGAAATTGGAATCTGATACAGTGCTAAGACAATCTCAGGAAAAGCTTTTTAAAAGCTGGATGGCTCCCTAAAATTGCTGGTTGGATTTTATCTTTTCCATTTCTGGAAAGAAAACATCCTCTGGGTTATGCATATGTAAATACCTAAGTACTTTAAAACAATCTCTCTAGGTTGACTTTGTAAATAATGCATAACAGCCAATTCTAAACTGCGTGTTAATGGAGGGGCTGTAATTAAGAATTACTGCCTTCTATCAATTATTTATTTTCAAACTGGTTTCTCAGAGAAACACAAACATATTATTAAAATATGTCTGAGCCATCTGATCTACTACTTTTGTTGCCTGTAACATAATTGCCACAGAGATTCCCTTGAATGGTTTCCCGCAATTGCTGTTTCTGTGTATAAATAATATTGACAAACTTGAGAAGCATTTCCCATCTAAAGAAGGACTTAGTAGTCTTAAATAACTTTCAGTGAAAAGCGACCATATTCACTAGGGAGATGATGTATTTTACTCTTTGTGCTGTACAGCTAAAGAACTTCTTATGTTACTTTAGAAACTCACATTTTGAGAGACAGTTTTATTTAGGAGGAGAAAACTTAAGCTTCACTTAACTGACACAAGGATATCTTAGTCAGTCATCTCCTCAGGTACATGACCAGAAATCCAGATGCATAGACCTTGTGAATAGTGGGAATTCTATTCTCCAAATCAAAACAAGCAGTGAGAGTGAAGAACTTCAAAATTTGTCAGAAATAATACTCATTTTAGAAAAAAAATGCATTGAAAATAGTGTATGTACTTAAATATAATTTTTCAATAAGATCTGCTTTTATACACATCAAGCAAAGTCTGTTCTAGGATCAATCATATATTCCAAAATAATAGACAGCAAAGTCACATTTTCTTTATAAACTGATAAGCCAAAAATTGTCCCCAAGCAAATCTTTTGCTTTTTGTATAAAACACATTTTGATAAAAACCTGCCGAGCTCCTAAAAGTCTTCCTTCTTTTGTTGAAGGAAGGTAATAATTACAAATGTTATGACAGAACACAGGAATTACGGTTTATGTCCTCAGGCACCAGGCTCCATTCAGTCAGTGCCAGGTTCACACTTAGCACTGGGTAAGCTTTTCTTATGTAAACACAGGCGCATCCTGTCATAGCCAAGACTGGGTACAATGACCTGTTGACTTTTCAGCAGGATGAAAAGGACCTGAGGCTGATTTCTATGGGAGGATACCTGAAAGATGTGGATGAAGGCTGATGTAGCAATAGCAGATGCTGACCATAAGGTTCACATGGCAGGAGGCAGTGTATAGTCCAGACCAATAATTGGGTATGTGGGTGGCGGTGGAAAAGTGCATTCATCCATGGGTGGGGCCTGGCAACAAGAAATCCAGCTAGATGACTCTATTCTTAAGGAAGACAGAAGAGAACAGTGGAAAAAGCTCAGTGTTAGAGTTAGCTGGCCTTGGGCTTGAACGTGGATACTGCCGCCCCTGAGCTCGTGGCCGACAGCTAGAGCTCTAGTTGTCTCTTTGTGAGGGGTAATGCCACCTACTTTAGAGAACTGTGGAGAGATTTAAAGAGACAAAAAGTGTACCTAAAGCTTCTAGAACATCATAATGTCCTAAGTTGAGGAGAAAACTGCCAGAGGTTGGAGGAGACTCTTGCAAAACAGGAATGTACTGGAGATTGAAGTGGAAGCATCCAATGCAATCTAATTAGACTGTGTATATTGTGAATTTGAGGAAGGAGAAGGTTCCACATTCAGATAAGAGCAGGTCAATGCTGACTTCATGAAAAAGGGGAAAGATGACCCAAAGCTGATCAAATAGTTTCAGACTCAGCTAGTTAGCTCAGGTACTGAGGGAGGTAAGGTGACCTACTTGTAGAGAAAGAGAAATGATGAGCCCAGGAAAATTTCACTGGATTTTCCAAAATACCTCTATGATGTGCATCCCCCATTTTATAGCTGAAGAAAGTATGAGAGGTACAGACAATATCCACAATGAGGGGAAATCTAGGATTTAAACCCAAGTAATGTCAATCCAAAGTTGGCCTATATGTAAAAGGTGAGAGTCTGATCACCTCATGAATGAGACAGAGTGTGAAAATCACTGATCTAAAGCTAATTTGGGGTTCTGTAATGGTCTTGGTGGGTTTAGTAGCAAATTGATGTTTCAAATGATCCATCTGCTAATAGGTCATTGAACTAAATATCAAGAGATCCTTTTGAGGAAATCTGTTAGTTGTCTAAATATTAAATTAATTCTAATTATGGAAAATAGAATTTAAATACTGAACTTTAGAAGCTATCTTGAATGATGTGGCTTTTGTTTCTAAATAATTTTTAAAAATCAGCAGGACCATAGCTATTCAACAGGGAGTTTGCTTTTATTGTAATGACCAAACTTGAGAAGAAGTAATCCCCAAGATCAAGAATGGCTATTTTTTTATCCTCAGCATTTAGACAGGATTTGTTTTATTTTTACAAGTTCAGCCTCCTTATTATATCATGTCTGTCTCTCTTCAATATGGATAATAAATAACAGCCATTCTGCTGCTCTGCAGATAGTCACGTGAAATTATATATTTTAATTTATTATGTATTATATTTATAAACATACTTATAAATATTATATTTATTATAGATATGTAGTGAGAGATGATAGATATAATATATATATATATATATATATATATATATATATATATATATATATGCCTAAAAATACCTGTCTAATAAACTGGTAATTCCTTCAAAAGCCACAATTACTCATGCACAGAGGTTTTCCCTCTAATAGCTAATACCATTTGTGAGCTTTATCCAATACTTTAATAATCTATACTTTTTATTCTTTTCTATTCACTAGCCTTCTGGTTATTTTACATAGCAACCATCTTGGTTGGGTGACTAGGTATAAGGCCAATTTGAACTCTATTTTGACTGTTAAAAAGTGTTGAAAAGTTTAAGGTGATTTCCAGTGACCTGTGGTAAGAACTTGTATTAATTTAGTTAGACATATTCTAATAATGTGGTAGAACTGCCCTTGTGTTGTCATTCTGCTTTTCCATGCCCTCAATCTCTCTCTCTTCCTAAGATTCTAGGATGGATCCTGATTTGTTCAGCATCCTTCTTCTCCCTGCTCACCACTTGTTATGCACGCTGTCGGTCTAATGTGAGCTATTTACAGTTAAGCTTTTGGAAGACATATGCACAAAAGGAGAAAGAGCAATTGGAAAATACATTTTTGGACTATGCCAACAAACTGAGTGACAGGAATCTGAAATGCTTTTTTGAAAACAAGAGACCAGATGTCTTTCCCATGCCCACTTTTGCTGCCTGGGAAGCTGCTTCAGAGTTGCATTCTTTCCACCCAAGTCGGCAACACTACAGCACCCTCCACAGGGTGGTGGAAGATGGCTTGGCTCCTTGCTCCCAGGACGATGAGACAGCAATGGTCCTTGTTGGTTCGGCCCACAATCTATAGCTCATCATCACTGACTCGAAGTGTCCAGAAGTATACTATTCTGACAGCTTCCTTTTGCATCTATAACAACCTTGTATTGCCAGATTTGGAAAACTGATTTGAAGCTACCAAGTACAATGCCAGGATGGGCTCAAATTGATGTAAAGTGGTAACAGACTCTTACGTTGGTAGAGGATTGGGTTCTGTGGGCCCACACATTGTTCCAAGTTCTAAGATTTTAAAATTCAGCATATAGACTTTTGCAAGGGGTCTCTGTAAATATTGGTCATGGTATCTGGGGTAGAAGTTGTGGACTGTGAGGGAACAAGATAGCCAACAAGGACTGTAGCTGTATTCAACATAGTAGGAATACTTGTATAATTCTGTTCTACTGCCTTTCAAGATGCATGAATTGGTTCCTTCCATTTGAAAATCATTACCTCAGAACCTGAAGATCTCAGTTCTGAAAGACAAACAATTGCAAGAGTATGATATCTATAGTTTTCCACATGCATGCAGTGCTGCATCATGACTTTTGTGGACCCAGTCACATTTGACTGCACAGACCAAAATGATAATTATATTTGTATATAGCTATATACATACCTATATGACTACATGATGATAAAGACAAATACCTGAATATTATATATTAAAACACATTTCTTGGGGCTGGGAAGATGGCTCAGTGGTAGAGTGCATGCCTTGCATGCATGAGGCCTTGGGTTCAATTACTCAGCATCACATAAGCAGAAAAAGCCAGAAGTGGCACTGTGGCTCAAGTGGTAGAGCGCCAGTCTTGAGCTGAAGAGCTGAGGGACAGTGTCCAGGCCCAGAGTTCAAGCCCCATGAACAGCAGAAAAAAAAAACATTCCTTGAACTGAAAGTTCATTTCTTTTCTGTTTTAATGTATTTTTATTGCTACTGCAAGATGATATACAGAAGGGCTATAGTCAGGAAATGAGTACATTTGTTTTTGTAGTGTCACCCCTTCCCTCGTTTTCTCCCAGTTTTTTCCCTCCTTGTCCCTCTCCCACAAATTGTACAGTTAATTTTTAACACAGTGCCTAGTGAGAATCACTGCTGCATTTGTTCATCTTTGTCCCACCCTTGCTGTGTATCCCCTCCCCCTTTCCCTCCTAAAGACAGATAAACTAACAAACAGTACAAAAGATAAAGAAAACTAAAACAGTAGCAAAGGAAAAAACTCTCATTTCCATTTCTTGGAGTTCATTTCAATTAACATCCTTTTATATGATCTTAAGCACATAGTTATTGACCCTTTGTAATCCTCTCCTAAGAATATCCCTCTTTGGTCTCACTGTGTGAATGTCTAGAGAGCTATAAAATTTATCATGTCCAAGTGTATTTTTTTGTTTTTTACCATCCTGTGTGTTTACTTGTAGATTTATAGACACAATCTAGTTACCACAAATGAGGGAAACAATGCAATCTATGTTTCTTTGAGTCTGCTTACTTCACTTATTTTTTCCAAGCCTTTGTATTTCCTTACAAATGTTACAATATCATTCTTTCTAATAGAAGAGTAGAATTCTATTATATATATGTATATATATACATATATCAATATATAATAATATTTTCTTAAACCATTTGTCCACTGGATTGATTCTATATCTTAGCTATGGTAAACAATACTGCAATGAACATGCTTGTGTTGGTAGCTTTAGCATGGCCTGATTTGGAATGCAAAATCAGGATAAATGCCCAGGAGTGGAGTTGCTGGGCTATAGGGAAGCTCTATGTTTAGTCTTTCGAAGAACCTTTAGATTGCTTTCCAGAGTGGCTGAACAAGTTTACATTCCCTCCAACAGTGATTTTAAAATTAAAAACACTCTGTGGACTAATGTTATATGGGTTGTAGGCTTGAGGATCCAGAAACCATGAGTGTATTTTAGTCTGTTTGGGCTACTATAACAAAATACCATAGAGTGAGTGGTTTATAAGTAACATAAATTGATGTTTTACTCTTTAGAAGTTGCAATTTGGTAATCAGGTTGCCAGCATGGTCAGGGTTGAAGTTGTCCCTCAAGTTGCTGACCCTTCACTGTTTCCCCATATGGTGTCAAGACAAGTAAAGTCACCAGGGTCCTTTTAAGGACATTAATTCTGTACCTTCTAATCTTACTACAATAGAGGTTAGGCTTCAATATATAAATTGAGGAGAGAGGAGACCACACAAGCATAGAGCGTGTTGCAGAGTAAATCAGCCATGAGAAGATATGGGGTTGCTACTCAGAGTAGTACCAGAAAAAACTGTTTTACAGTTTTCCATTTATTAGGAATGCAAACTTGGATTCTACCATGTAATATCTCTCTCTCTCTCTGTGTGTGTGTGTGTGTGTGTGTGTGTGTGTGTGTGTGTGTAAATTTCCCTGAAGTCTTTGAATGGAATTGTACTTAAGGAAAGGGAGGTATGTCTTAGACTGTAAGTACACATATCACTAGTGTGCTAGTTAGAGAAAGCTGGATATTAGCCTTCTACTACCATGAAACATGATGCCAAACTGAAAGGAAATCCTCATAGGTCTAAGACCAACAATCTGTGGTTGTGACTGATCAGAAATCTGTTTTGTTTTCATGCCCATTCCTGGCAGAGTGCCTCTGAAACCCTTGGAATTTCCATGCTGTATCTTCTTGTGTGCTAATGAGGTGTCCAGTGTTTCCTGGGTAGTCTGAGGATGAGGACTGATTTGTCAGAGGAACTAACCATGTGACTAAAGAGGTGAAATCTTTAACCTTACCCTCATCCCTCTGATGAGTTGGAGAAAACCCACATTTACATTCCTGGTGGTTAGTTTTTACTGTTGCATGTGAGTGCAGAAAGGTATGTATTATATCCTTCAGGTTTTAGAGGTTTGGTGTTAGTTATGTATGTGAGAAAGAGAGAGAGAAAGAGAGAAAGGAGATAGGCGTGAAAAGGGCAGAGATGTCAGAATAGAGAGGTGAAACTCAAAAACACAAACCTTCTTATTGCTTCCTAACTTGGAGCTTGCCTGCCCTAAAGAGTCTGCTAAGCTTGAAAAAGCCACCTAGGAACCAGGGGTCCACATGCATCTTTTGGCTAGTGGAAATCTGAATCAGCAGTTCTACAAAAGTAGCTAAACAGGAGGAAGCTGAAGATTGAGGAGTCAGCTCTGAGGCCTGCTGCTGTCACCCTGAGCCCCAGCGGCTTTCTACAATTAAGAAGCTTACTCATGACCGGGATGCCTCATTCAAGAATCTCCAAACTGCCTAGTAACAAGCCAGCAGCCCGGGGTACTTTTTCTGTAGCTCAGTAAGTAGAAGAGGGGTTCATCCTCTTACTCTGGAACACGTGGCTCTGGGATGAGTCATGTATTCATCCTGACTTTTGCTCCCCATCCCTGTAGAAGAGTACTTTACTCAGAAGGGAAACAAGTTCAAGAAACCTTATCTGTCTTATGAACTGTCTTGGAGAAAATAGGTGAAGATAAAGGAAGCAAATTGCATCTGCTCTTGGGTGTCCAAAGGGAACAGGCAAGGAGACAAGCCGGTCTTAGGAGACTTCAGAGGTATAGACAATTTGTTGTCTTAGGTTAGGGTCCCTAGAAGCAATACCTCACATGTGAAACTGTGTGTAAGTGATTTCCTAAAAAGTAATATGCTCAAAAGAAGCCTCTTAGCAGAATAGACACAAGAAAATGAGGTTTCAGATGAATATTAGTCTAATCAATATCATAGACAATTCTGGGCCATGAGCCTTGACCTTAATCTAAAGTGAATGCTAGGGCTTCTTATGTGGCTTTGAGTTATTTCAGAACAAAAGAGGGTGAGGCCTAGATGATTCTAAGTAAGACATAGTCAGTAGCCCAATGGTAACCCTCCAGAGAAGGTTACACACACATTGGGTATCAGCACCTTGAAATGAGATATCTAGGGATGTTTTAGAAGACATCCACTGAAGTCTGCAATTGCAATTCTTCCTCAAGTCGATACTTGAAGTATATGGAAGACATTACAGTCAATCCATGCCCAAGATGACTTCTTTTTTAAACTTCTAACTTTCTCAGAAGTCAAAGAACAACAAACCCAGGCATCTTGTCTTATTCTACTATTGCTCTATTACACAGCAGCAAAGGATTGGAAAGTGTTCTTTGAACAAATTTAGTACGTTCCCATACAAGGAAAACATCAAAGGACATTAAAATATGTCCCATAAATTTATATAAAATTTTAATATGCTATTTTTCTGCAAGGCTCTAACTTTTTCTTCAAGGTCACCTAATAAATTTAGAAGTCTTAGAACTCATTCAGTTTATTCACAAACAATGGAAACGGAGTGGGGAAAATGACTGGCCATTGTTACAAAAAATAAGGTTTGGTAGACACATCATTAAATATATTATACATTTAGTAATGTATTATAAAGTATATATGTATCTAAATATATTTTAAAATATGCATGTGGTTTTCTAGTTGGAACACTTGAAGTGCCACTAGAATTATTAAATTGAACAGGAAAATGGTGGCATTATTAATTTCAAATATGGTGCAGTACTTAAAATCCTGATGATTAATTTCTATAAAAATTAGCTGTGTGGAAGGCTGCATTCTGCTACCCGATGAACTCATCAGTAGCAGAAAACTCCTATGTATTCTAACATGGCATAATTCAGATATTTCAGCTAATACTTTGTGTTAGATAGCTTTCAGTCACTAAAACAAATACTTGAAATAAATTGACTCATGAGGGAATAAGATTTATCTTGGCTCACAGTTTTTGAAGTTTGAACCCATGATAAACTGGTCCCATTTCTCTGTGGCAAAATAGTTTGCCCTGGTGAAATCACATGGAAAACAAAGCCATGTATGACCAGGAAGTAAAAACAATAGAAAAGAACAGGGCTTTAGAGCTATTTCTCTCCTTGAGGGCATGCCCCAATGACCTAAAGACCTCCCACTGTGCTCCAACTCTTTCCGTGACTATGTACCAATAGCACCAAACCGGAGACCAAGCTTTTCATGAGCCCTGAAGAATCACCAAAGATCTAAAGAATGGCATAACTGTTTTTCTACGTAGACTTTAATGACTCTGCATTCTCTAAGATAGGTTTCTAATATTCTAATATTTCTAATATTGCCCCATTTTTTTCTCCTTTTGGAAGGCAGAGGATAGTATATTTCATGGGTAGAACTTGAATCTGTCTCTTTTTATACGTCCAACCCATTAAGTGAGGCCCAGATAAGACAATGTTGTAAATCTCAGAGAATAAAGGTTAGACAACCTGGAGTTTTGATGTCCAAAGACAAGAGTGTGTGGGTGACACAATTCTAAGAGAAGGAGAATGAGAAGAATAGGAAAAGAATATAAGAGAGGAAGAAGAGAGAGACACATATGTATATACAGAGAAAGGAGAGAAAGAGACAAAGAAAGACAGAACCTCACAAATGTATCCTTCACCTGTCTTTTTGTTATATCTAAGTCCTCAATGAATTGGATGGGCCCCATTCACATTAGTTGAGGGTGGATCTTCCTTATTCAGTGCACTGATTCAAATAACAAGCACTTTAGAACCTTCCTTGCAGACATATCCTGAAATGAAGGCTTACCATCCACCTAAGTAT